ACTGCTAACACATATGTGATATTGACAAAGTGGCAAGTACTTTTCTAAGTACCTTGTATGTGAAATAAACACATAAACAACCCTCTGAGAGTATTTCAAAAAGTTCATGGAAATATAGATACAACAGATAATGTACATTTTCCATGAGCTCTCAGAAAACACACTGTTCTGATTTTCATAAGGGTCCTCTGAGGTATATACTAGTCAATCTATGAGGGTCACCATAAGCAGTGATCCCCCTAGATTGTAAATTACAAGATTTTCACAAATCCCATCTCAGCAGCCATCTGGCTGGCTCTACGTCAGCAATCGCAACAATACATCCTGATTTCAGGACGCTGCAAATATGAAAAAATGGTTGCAGCTCAGAATCCAATGAAATGCATAGCATGTTGTTGCATTTCAGAGATGAGGGTACAGAGGAAAAAAGAGATTATATAATTTGCTCAAGGTTACAAGGCTCATAGACACAATTTTACCAATACTCTGTTCTGAAAAGAGACCAACATAACGATGTCTATAATGCATTTCAGACAGCATGCATGAGAAAAATCGGTTCTAATTCAAGGAGCTATTCTGAGAATGCATTCTGTATTTAACTTTCACATTTAAAATATAGCCATAAGAGGGGATGAAGAATCACCATTATGACAGCAAGTATATGAGTACATGACGTATCCACACAAACAAAAAATGTTCAGTATTATTCATCTGGTGATTTCAGGGAACTTGAGGAGAATTAACTAATGACTTTAGAATGTTTAATAAGTTTTATTCTCTCTTTTTAAAAGATTCGTCCCCAAACCCAGATGACAGAATCATAGGTAACAGAATCCTGTTAGAAAAAAGAGGGATGTGAGCGTATATGTCTTTAGAGGCATTCTAAAAAATCCAGAAAAAAAAAAACAACAGAGGGAGACAACAGAAATCACTTCAAATGGTCAGTCTCTAACTTGCTTTAAAATGCAATAACTGGGAGAAAGAGGACAGGGGAAAATTAACTTATAATAAGCATTGTGGCATAGTGGGTTAAGCTACTTGGGACACCCACATGCTCTATCAGAATGTCAGTTCAAGTTCTGGTTACTCCACTTCCCATTCATCTTTCTCCCAATGCTCCTGGGAAGGCAGCATATGATGGCACAAGTAGCTGTGCCCCTGCCCTCCACATGGGAGACCTGGATGGAGCTCCTGGCTTCAGCCTGGCCCAGCACTGATTATTTCAGGCATTTAGAAAGTGAACCAAGTGGTTGGTATAGAGGCCTAATATGTTAAGCCTCTGCCTGTAATGCCGGCATCCCATATGGGCTCCAGTTTGAGTCTTGACTGCTCCACTTTCAATCCAGCTTCCTGCTAAGGGCCTGGGAAAGCTGCGGAGGATGGCCCAAGTGCTTGAGTACCTGTACCCACGTGGGAGATCCAGAAAAGTTCTTGGCTCCTGGCTTTGGATCAGCCCAGCTCTGGCTGTTGGGGCCATATGGGGAGTGTACCAGCAGATGAAGACCTCCCTGTCTCTCCCTCTCTCTGTAACTATGTGAAAGGAAGAAAGGAAGAAAGGAAGAAAGGAAGAAAGGAAGAAAGGAAGAAAGGAAGAAAGGAAGGAAGGAAGGAAGGAAGGAAGGAGGGAAGGAAGGAAGGAAGGAAGAAAGGAAGAAAGGAAGAAAGGAAGAAAGGAAGGAAGGAAGGAAGGAAGGAAGGAGGGAAGGAAGGAGGGAAGGGAGGGAAGGAAACCAGCAAATGAAAGATCTCAATCTCTCTCTCTCCCCTCCCCTTCCATCCTCCCTCCCTCTCTGTCACTCTGCCTTTCAACTAAATGAATCTTTAAACTGTTTATCTCTGGCTTTTGAAAAAAAAAAAATACTTTTTTTAAGATTTATTTATTTGAAAGGCAGAGTGACAGAAGGGAGAGACAGACAGCAAGATCTTCCATCTGCTGATTCACTCCCCAAATGGCCACAACAACCAGGAACTAGGAGCTTCTTCCAGGTCTGTCACATGGGTGCCTCCACTGCTTTCCCGAGCCATTAGCAGGGAGCTGGATCAGAAGTGAAGCAGCTGGGACTCAAACAGGTGCCCATATGGGATGCCAGTGCTGCAGACAGCACCTTAACCTGCTATAGCACTACACTAGCCCCAGAAAAATAGGAATAGTACATCAAAATCAAGTAATAAACACTAAATTTTCAAATCCTGAATATTAAAGAGAAAAAATAAACTCATCTACTAGGGTCAACTATAGCCTGTTGTCTCAAAATTTGGGAGTTTCTGCCCTATGGATTTAAATTCCAATGGCTTCAACCCTACTCTGAATTAAGTAAATTAAGGACCCTAAGATCTGGCTCCTCTCTCCAATCTAATCCCTACTCAGTGTCCATGCACAGAGATGTCCAATATTTGTTAAAATTGCCAAGTTCATCACATCATCTAGGGTTTTATACGTACTGTTCCCAGCACCTAGGCACGATAGGGTCTTCTGTTCTCAGTTTAAAAATATTTCTTCAGAAAAAGCTTTCCTAGTACCTTACCTTCTCAAAATCCTTTAAGGGAAAAGAATATAGGGGCTGGCACTGTGGTGTAGAGGGTAAAGCCACCGCCTGCACTGCCGGCATTCCCATATGGGTGCCAGTTCGAGTCCCAGCTGCTCCACTTCTGATCCAGCTCTCTGCTATGGCCTAGGAAAGCAGCAGGAGATGACCCAAGTACTTGGGCCCCTGCACCCACGTGGGAGACCAGGAGGAAGCTCTTGGCTCCTGGCTTTGAATCAGCACAGCTCTGGCCGTTGCAGCCATCTGGGGAGTGAACCAGCGGATGGAAGACTGACTCTCTCTTTCTCTCTGTCTCTCCTTCTCTCTGTAACTCTGACTTTCAGATAAATAAATAAATCTTCAAAAAAAAAAAAAAAAAGAAAGAAAGAAAGGAATATAAAGAAGGTAACTAAGATAAAATACAAACAGAAGAAACACTGGGAAACTTCATGTGATTTCATTCGATCTTTACAATAAACCTCAGAAGTAGGTACTTTTCTAATAGAAGAGGAACTGGGTTCACAGATTAAATACCGTCTCCAAGGTCTCTCGGGTAAAGCAAAGATTAGAACCCAGATTTGTCTAATTCCAAACCCACAACCCCTCTGCAACACTGCACTAACCCATCTGGGAAAAAGGAAACTATCTTACTAGAAGCAAGTGCTGAGAGCTAAGTGGCAGGGGGACAGGGTGCATTTCCTGGTTTACATAAACATCTATGAACTGACAGTCTGGATAATTAAGTCAATATTCAGAGCTTTCATTTGGTATCTGTATTTCTTTTACATTAGCAATTTGCTAAGTAGGATAATTTTAGATTAAAGAACACTGGTTAGTTCTAGTCTCAAAGAGTTCAGAAGGTATATAAAATGCTACGACAGCATTTGGTGCCGCCGTGAAGATGCTGCCTATCCAAGCGCCTGGGGTTGTGTCCCAGTTCCAGGTCAGATTCCAGCACACTCTGGGAGGCAGCAGCTGTGTTCAAGGACTTGGGTCCCTGCCATCTACATGGGACACTCAGACTGAGATCCTGGCTTCAGCCTGGCCCTGCCTCACTGTTGCATGTATTTGGGGGCGCTCTGCCTTTCAAATAAAATGAAAATTAAATATTGTTTCAATTAAAAATAAAATACTGTTTCTGGATAGGGCAGATAAGATGCCAATGACTATGCCTGCACCCCACATTAGAGTATGTGGATTTCAACACCTAGCCCCACTCCTGACTCCAGCTTCCTACTAACGCAGACTCTGTAAGACTACAAAGGCTCAACTGATTGAGTCCCTCCACCCAAGGGAGATGTGGATTTGGCTGCTGATTCGGGCCTGGGGCTGTTGCGGTCATTTGGGGCATGAACTAGCAGACTGGAGTGAGTTCTCTCTCTACCTCCCTCCCTCTAACTCTCCCTCTAACCTCTATACTTTATACACTTTGGTAATCAAGTAGTTATAGAATTCCTAAGGTTACCCTAAGGAATTCAGCTAATAAAAACTGAGGAATGGCTAGTTTCATTCTTTTGTTTTTAATATTTATTTATTTTATTTGAGAGGCAGATTTGGGGGAGTGGGGAGAGAATGATTATCTTCCATCCACATCCACTGGTTCACTCCATAAATAGCCACAATGGCCTGGGCTGGGCCAGACAGAAGCCATGAGCCAGAAGCCCTCCTCCAGGTCTCCTGCTTTAGTGCAGGGGTCCATGCACTTGAGCCATCCTCCTCTGCTTTCCCAGGCACATTAGCAGGAAGCTGAATCAGAAGTGGAGCAGCCAGGACTCAAAATGGGTGCCCATATGGGATGCCAGCACTGCAGGCTGCAACTTAACCCACTATGTTATGGCACCATAGCTTTTAATGAACAGATAAGATTTCAGATTAGGGTAATACTTTGGGATAATATTTAAGCTATGTTAATTTGATAAAGCAATTCACAAGTATTCTGGAGATATATTTATCACATGTTCTTTTTATTTACAAACATGCCTAACTTTCCTAACAACATATAAAAATTTTTCTAAGATTTATTTATTATTTGAAAGGCAGAGTTACAAAGAGAGATGGGGGGGCGGGGAGAGAAAGAAAGGGAGGGAGGGAGAGCGAGCAAGCAAGTGAGCTTCCACCTGCTAGCTGACTCTACAAATGACCACAATGTCCAGGAGTGGGCCAGGCAAAAGCCAGAAGCCTGGGACTCCATCAGGGTCTCCCATGTGGATGACAATCTTCTGTCACCTTCCCAGGCACATTAGCAGGGAGCTGAATCAGAAGTGGGGCAGCAGGGACTCAATGACAGTGTCACAGGAAGTGGCTTAATCCTCTGTATCACAACTCTGGCCCTCAAATTTTTGAGGGCAGCATCTTTAATTTATATACATATCCATGATACCATCCATATATTTTTACATCCCAATCACTAGAAAAAAGAAATCAATTTTTGCATACCCTGCTATGTTAGGTTTAAAATGTTAATTATGCCACAGGTTTTTGTGGTTTTTTTTTTTTTTTTTCATTCCTGTCATTAAAATATGAAGCCTAATTCTCCTCCTCTAGTGGGTGGCATGGCTGAGTGACTCCCTTCCAGGGAAGAGTAAGGCAGGATTGACAGCATGAGATTTCTAAGACTAAGTCATAAACATCATCACAGCTTCCTCCTAGCTCTCTTTCTTGGACCACCCACTCCTGCAGAAACAGGCAGCCATGTTTTCAGATCTAAAGAGATATCCTTGTTTCCAAGGACTAAGGCTTTCTGCCAACAGCCAGTGAGGAAATCAGGCCTCACTGTCGTGAGTGAGCCATCCTCCCAGCCCAAACAAGCCTGCAGATGGCCACGCCCAGCCCACATCTGAACTACAATGTTCTGAACAGTCCCTGAGCCAGGACCACCCTGTGAACACAAAACTGTGGGAAATAATATGACTAAATGTTCATCATTGTTGTAAGCCACTAAGTTTTTGGGGTGGTTTGTTATATAACAATAAAAAATCAGGGAAAAAAAACTCAGTTACTCACATTTTTTTCCTATGAACATCTGTCTCAACCTTTCTCCATTCCCAGTGCTCATTAGAATCTTTTTTTTAAATTTTATTTAAATTATACAAAAATTTCATGTATTTGCTCATCAGAATCTTAGTTCCCCCCATATGATCCTGTCACACACTCCCTGATTTGACAGTCACTGATAAAGAACATACTTAGCTAAGAAGAAATGATATTGAGTACAGTAAGAAAGACCTAGAGAGGGCCGGCGCCGTGGCTCAATAGGCTAATCCTCCACCTTGCGGCGCCGGCACACCGGGTTCTAGTCCCGGTCGGGGCGCCGGATTCTGTCCCGGTTGCCCCTCTTCCAGGCCAGCTCTCTGCTATGGCCAGGGAGTGCAGTGGAGGATGGCCCAGGTGCTTGGGCCCTGCACCCCATGGGAGACCAGGAAAAGCACCTGGATCCTGGCTCCTGCCATCGGATCAGCGTGGTGCGCCGGCTGCAGCGGCGGCCATTGGAGGGTGAACCAACGGCAAAGGAAGACCTTTCTCTCTCTGTCTCTCTCACTGTCCACTCTGCCTGTCAAAAAAAAAAAAAATAAAAGAAAGACCTAGAGAGCAACCAGGCTCCCTTCCCTAGGACTTACTAACTAGTAGGACTTATTTAAACCTCACAGTGATTCCTCCACTCTCTCTGTCACGTGTGTACTATCAAAAGCCTTTCACTGGGAAGAAGAAGAGTCCCACCAGAATAGTTGTGGAAATTCTCATACCTAAGTGCCTAATCACATATGATAAGACAAATTTCAAAATCCTGTTAGTAAGTTACAAAGCAACTTAAACTACCAGACAAAACAATTGCTTATAAAAGCCCACTGATAGGGAATGGTTGTTTCCTGGTCACACTTAAGATTGAGAAAAGTAAATAACCTTGCACACATTCTTATCTGTGCTGATATTCACAAAGTTTTCGGATTTATTTGTGGTTTAATGTCACCAAAGTGATCATAACAAGGCACATGCTGGGCTTTTTTGTCTCATGGCATGGCAACATTTAGACCAAAAAAAAAAAAAAGGAAGGAAGGAAGGAAGGAAGCAAACACCTAAGAGTGAAGCAGCTAAATTCTCAGGCAAGTTGCCCAAACGGCTGAAAGTGACAAAGAAGATAGGGAAGGCAGTAGAAGAAGAAAGATGACAGAAGACAAAGCACTAAGCTCTAACAGAGCCAAACTGTTCTGATTCATGGATTTCACTTTCTAGCCAGAACCAAACCCTTCTAACAGTATCACTTAAATTTTTGAATTGTAAGGTAAGTAAAAGAAACAAAAGACACATAAATAAAAGTTAGTAGCTTGCATCCTCCAAGCCCAGGAGCAATCTCTTTGTTTTTTATTTAAAAAAAAAAAAGATTTGTTTATTTATTTGAAAAGCAGTGTTACAGAAAGAGGGAGATCTTCCATCTGTTGGTTACTCCCCAGATGGCTGCTAACAGCCAGGGCTGGGCTGGTCCAAAGCCAGAAGCATCTTCCGGGTCTCCCATGTGGGTACAGGGTCCCAAGCACTTGGGCCATCTTTTGCTGCTTTCCCAGGCACATTTGCAGGGAGCTGGATCAGAAGTGGAGACACTGAGACTCAAACTAGAATCCATATGGGTTGCCAGTGTTACAGGTAGTGGCTTTATCTGCTATGCCACAATGCCGGCCCCCAGGAACAATCTTGTGGTTCAGTTCTATCTCCAAGTTAAATACAAAAGATTTCCCCTCAACTTTAAGTATCACTCAAAATCAAAACCAAAAAGGGCAGAGGGTATAATTCATTATCTATTTCCTTGGGGCAGTGCTTCTACCATAACACAGGCCTGCTGCTTAAAGTGACTATTGTTATTTACTTTTTCTGTTGAAGGATTTATTTATATTGTGAAAATAAACATACAGCAAAAATTTCAAAGTACAGAAACTTAAACATCCCCACATCCAGACCTTCGTCCCACTTGTCAATGCTAGTGGTCATGCAGTTTCTTATGTAGTCAATTAGAAACCACCTACTTGTCACATGCTTGTGTTCTGTTTCTTCTAAAGGAAAAAAGGAATGCTTTACCCACCACCTTGCACATACAGGAGTAGAAAATGTTTATGGTTTTGATTTAATGATGACCACAAGGCACCTGCTGTTCATTTATACCCAGAATTAACAATTCCAATAAACAAAGTTGGCTTGTTCACAAATATTTCACATAAACTGAAGGGAATACACAAAAATCATGTCATTCTGCCAACAAAATAACTAGAACTTTTTAAAAACTATATATTTAAACATAATAATAAACTATTTAATCCTTCTTGAAAAAAAATCCTATGTAGCATCCTACATAATATCTTATTAAACAAACACCTTGCATTTATCTAAAGGTGAATTATCTGGTACCTTATGTAACTGCCATTCATAATGCATTCTCTTTTAGATTAGAAACTATACTAACAAGCTTACTCATATGATCTTTTCAAGCCCACAGAAGATCAGAGAGAAATAAGATGGATTAAAATAGGTATGTGACTTTGACAGTAGTAAATTATTTTTTTTTTAAACCAGACAACAAAAAAAGAAACAAAAACTATAAAATGCAGCTATCAAAACTCAGAGCAGGGGCTGGTGTTGGCAGAGGAGTTCCGTCACTGCGTGGAATGCGTGCATCCCATGTCGGAGTGCCGGGTTCAAGCACTGCCTCCAGCCCCAGCTCCAGCTTCCTGGGACTGCACCTCGGGGAGGCAGCAGGCAATGGCTCAAGTGACTAAGTCCCTGCCACCTGTGCGGAAGAACCAGATGGAGTTCAGACTCTTGGCTTCCACCTAGCCCAGCTCCAACTCTTGCAGACATTTGGGGAGTGAACCAGAGGACAGAGGATCTATGTCTATTGTTCTGTCTTTCTCTCTGCCTTTCCAATAAAATGAAAATAAATAAAAATTTTAAATAAAAGATTCAAACTAGGAATGGATGTTTAGCCTAATAGCTAGACACCACCATCCCACATCAACATGCCTAGCCAGATCTGAACCCCGACTTCAGCTTCTGGCAATGTACACCCAGGGAGCCAGTGGTAATGGTTCAAGTAATTAGGTTTCTGACACCCATGTGAAGACCTGAGTTGAATTTCCCGCTGCTGGCACTCTCCATACAGCCTTGGCTGTTGCAGGCATCTGGGACGTAAAACAGTAGATGGGAGATCTCTCTGCTTGTATCTCTTTCTAAGCCTCTCAAACAATTAAGACAAGCACAAACTTCAAAAAAGAATAGCCACGTCAGAATTTAAGTATAAACAGCCTCATTATGTCAAAAATGACTAGGGGTAGAGGGGTGGGTATTTGATCTGTGATAAAGACACTGGGTGGGATGCCCATGTGCCATACCAGAGAGCCTGGGTTTGATTCCCGGCTCCAGATCCCAATTCTAGCTTCCTGCCGATACCCTGGGAGGCAGCAATGATGGTTCAAAGTAACTAAGTTCCTGTCACCCACTTGGGAGAGCTGGACTGAGTTCCCAGCTCCTGGCTTCAGCCTTGTCTGGTCCCTAGACACTGCAACCATTTAGGAAGTAAACAAGTGGATGGAGGTGCTCTCTCACTCTCGCTCTCGTTCTCTCTCCTACGTTCCTTGAATAAATAAAAGCCATTGAGGATGTTGTTGTAGCATGTAACTGTTGATTTTTTAAAAGCCATCTGACTTGGGGATGTGGGGACTGGCACTGAGGCACAGCACGGTAAGTCTCTGATAGGGATGTCCACATCTCATATTGGAATGCTGCTTTGAGTCCCAGCTACTTTGCTTCCCACCCAGCTTCCTGGTTATGCATCCTGGAAGGCAACAGATGATAGTTCAAGTATTTGGGGCCCTGACACCCTCAAAGTAGACCCAGATGGAGCTCAAAGCTCCTGGCTTTGGCAGGGTCCAGCCCTGGCTGTTGAGGGCATCAGGGGAGTACAGCAGCATATGGAAGGTGTCTCCCTCTCTTCTCTTTCTCTCTATCTCTCTCTCTGCCTTTCAAGTAGATGAAAATAAATATCATTTTAAAAATATATCTAATTTATGGGTGATAAAGAAATAAGGTAATTTACACAAAGTGCTAAATTAGGGGTCAGCACTGTGGCATAGTAGACTAAGATTACACCTGCGGCACCGGCATCCCATATGGGTGCCGGTTAGTGTCCTGGCTGCTCCTCTTCAGATCTAGCTCTCTGCTTATGGCCTGGGAAAGCAGCGGAGGATGGCTCAAGTGCTTGGCCCCTGCACCCACATGGGAGACTCTGAAGAAACTCCTCACTCCTGGCTTCAGATCAGCCCAGTTCCAGCAGTTACAGCCATGTGGGGAGTGAACCAGTGGATGGAAGACCTTTCTCTCTGTATCTCCTCTCTGTCTGTAACTCTACCTCTCAAAGAAATAAATTAAAAAATCTTTTAAAAAATATTAAGTTTTGATGTATACTTTCCAAAGGAGTGAGAAAATGAATTTAAATATTCCCAGGGCATTAACCGCAGCGGGTTAACGCCCTGGCCTGAAGCACTGGCATCCCAAATGGGTGCTGGTTCAAAACCCAGCTGCTCCACTTCCAATCCAGCTCTCTGCTATGGCCTGGGAAAGCAGCAGAAGATGGCCCAAGTCCTTGGGCCCCTGCATCCATGTGGGAGACCCAGAAGAATCTCCTGGCTCCCGGGTTCAGATCAGCACAGCTCCAGCTGTTGAGGCTAATTGGGGAGTGAACCATCAGATGGAAGACCTCTCTCTCTCTCTCTCTCTCTCTCTCTTTTTCTCTTTGCCTCTCCTCTCTCTGTGTAACTCTTTCATTGGAGGGTGAACAAACGGCAAAGGAAGACCTTTCTCTCTGTCTCTCTCTCTCTCACTGTCCACTCTGTCAAAAAAAAAAAAAAATTTTAAATATTCCCATCCAACATGCTTCCCCTTAAAGGGGGTCTTGGCTCTTAATAAATTATGTTTTAATTACCTGGAATTTAATAATATGAATTCATCTCATAACGTGACAATAACAAATTAGAAATGCTATTTTTAAGTGGAAGGAAGGAAGGAATAGATGATAAAGTAGTTAGTCCTCACAATAAACTAACAAGTACATTTCTATTATTATCTCCCTATCACAGAACAGGAAATAGACTCAAAGCAATTAAGTAATTTGTTGTTCAGTTAGGGGATTGGAACTCTAGTTTGTTGTCATACAGAAAAAAATTAAAAGGTACTTATTTGTTCATTAAATGCAGATTCAGTTTTTAAACTGAAGTTTTTTAAAGGAAAAATTCTTTAGATACTGAAAAGATCATAAATACCAGGGTAGTGTTGTCAAAAGAACACTTCATTAAGGTCACAAGTCCTGATTGATAAACCTTATGTAAAAATGAGGAAACTGAACTACAGTATCTCTAAAGGCCCCTTCAATTTTGTTCCACAAAATTAAATGTCTTTCACAGAAACTCAGGGCATTTTTTACCACTAGTTTTCTACAGCTTTAGCAATTCCGCAAGTGGAGTGAGTGGAGCAATCATTTGTTCCCTCCTACTTTTTCATTTGCTTTCATGGGCAAGATAGAGGAAATGCTCTCAATCTGGTCCTCTCTTCCCACTATTCATTCACAGTAAACTTCTACTCTTTAGAAATAAAGTAACAATGATAGAATGTAACTGAAAAGATATATAAATCAATCTGATTAGAGGTTGGAAGGAAAATGGACCTTTGGAAAGTCTAGATTCTAGAATAAGTATGGAGAAAACAAAAATTAACATACATATGGCCTTTTAAAGATCAGAAGATTGCCACAGAGAAATATATCTCTAGCCTAAAAGTAACAGTTACAAAATGGAATGTCCACTCTAATTCTTTTATAAACCTTGAATTCTGTACCTGTCACACAATCCTCTCAAATGTGAAGTTCCAAAAATGATGTGTTCCTTCCAAATAATCTGTCTGTGAAAGTTTAAAAATCAGAGAAAGCACTATCAATGGCAAAAGAACACTGTATTATGAATGCTTACTACTCAAAAAATGGCAAGGACAAAGTTAATGCTGTATTTATTATCATAGAGGGGGGAAAAGGGGATTCTGATCACCACTTTCTTGTGCCTTTAAATTCTCACATTGCAGAGCAGAAAACACTTTTTTTTGAGCTACCTAATTTTTCAGAGACTGGATCTCACTAAAATTCAAGAATAAATCGAAATCAAGAGAAGATATTGAACTTAAACATACTTGAATATATTAGCATTAAGCACTGGATAATGGCAGCTGTTGGTAAACTACTTTAAAGAACATGAATAATCTTCGATAAGCCTCTGTCTTCAAACCACAATAATGGGGCACATTCCACACTCTGGGAATATTAAAATTGGGCATTATAGGCTGAGTTTATTCAATCTATAATTTGCAGGTCACAATATGACTGAGGAGGGAAAAAAAGCTATAAAATGAAGTACCAAAGAATTATACAGTGACCCTACCTTAAGTATCTCCAAAACAGAGACAATATTAATACTCTAACTGCTCCAAGTAGATAGTTGCTTCCCCTGTGCTAAAAGCCAGGCCTCATACCACTGAGTCAGTTTTACTCAGAGAAGTCATGAGGTGGCAGACTGGACGTGACAGCATGCTGTGTAATGAATGACACATCTTGTTTCTGAGCGTAGGCCTGAAGCACTAAAATAATGTTAATAAACATCCTTTATGGGAGTGAACAAACACATCTACTCCCTTCTTCTTCCTGTCCCCCAACATCTCCCATGGATAAGGAGAACAACTTTAAAAGGGTACAGCAAACAGAAAACCCTTAAATAGGCAGCGAGGCTGTAAAATGGACTCACTCTTGATGCTTTCCCTCACTTTAAAATAGGTTTCAAAAACAAGCAGGGGAATCTTAATGAACTATTCAACATCACTACGTTCACATGGCTAAACTCTGAAAAATAAAAACGTACTGACTAAAAGTTGTTTATTTAAATCCTACTCATACTAAGTGCACAGTGTGTAGTCCATCCCAGCTGCTCAAATGCATTAACCAGCAATATGGTGGGAGTCTAGAATCCCAATTCTGCCTTGTTACGGCAATCCAACTGAAAGATTGGGCTCAGCTTTCTACCTGTCGTATTTATTTACAGTCTACAACCTTTTAAAACATATATATCTTTCCATGTATCTGAGACTTGTCACCTTGACTAGACAAAAAACTATTTCAGGGCAGGAACCACGTCTTCTACTTTCTTTAAAAGTACAAGAACACAGGCTCTGCAGTCATACCGATAGGTCACCAACCCAAGTTCTAGCACCAGCTTTGTGACCCTGGCCAAGATACTTGTCCTTCCTATGCCTCAGTTTTCTCACCTGCAAAATAGGGATAAAGGCATATGATTGCTGAAAAATTATGAATGAAGTGAATACCTAAAAAGTGTCTGGCATAAACAATATGAAATATTAATTATGATAATTATCTGTATCCCTACCATATCTAACACCAAGCCTTAATCCTTTATTAGACGGTCAAGGATCTGTCAACTGATTTCAAATGGTATACAATTGTATCAGCAATACAATTTCTCTCATTATCACCATATAACTCATGAACAATGAAATTTTTACTGTTCTAGAAGACTTTAACACTTCAAAATGTTTATTACTTCTAAAATATCACATCAAATATTCCTACCTGAATAGGAATTGGAAAATCAGTCACAGAACAAATTCTTAACTAGTTTCTGTACTTGTTCAACAGTCTCAGCTACTAAGTGTGATAAAGAGGGAAATCCTGGCCAATGCAATTTTAAACTGGTCAGAATAACACAAATGTGATCAGAATATAACATTATTATTTTTTGAAAATTAAGTTCCTAATTTCAATAGCAAAAAAAAAATAAAATAACTTTTGAGATTTTTTTTATAATGTACAAAATATTTTAGTATAAAACCCACAATGAGACCACATTGTGACTATTACAATGGCCATTATCAAAGGAGAAAATAACAAGTGTTTGTGAGGTTGTGAAGAAAATGAAGCCCTGTGTATTGCTGATAAGAATATAAAATGATGCAGCTACTGTGGAAAACAGTACAGTGTCTACTCAGAAAATTAAACTTGGAATTAATATATGATCCAGCAACTTGTTCCCAGAAATACCCAAAAGAAAGAAAAACAAACCTGAACAGATACTGTATACCAATATTCATAGCAGCCAAAGGGAAGAAACAATCTAAGTGTATATCAACAGATAAACAGGTAAACAAAATGTGATATAGATCATGAAATACCATTCAGCTGTAAAAGGAATGTAATTCTGACACATGCTCCAACATGGATGAACCTAGAAGACACTATGCTTAGGGTCTGATTCCATTTATATGAGATTTTTGGAGTAGTCAAATTCATAGAGACCAAATACAGAATAGCCAGGAAGGGGTGGAGAATGGTGTTATTACTTAATAGATAGAATTTAAGTTTAGAAAAACAAAAAAGTTTTAGAGATGGATGGTGGTAATGGCTACACAATCATTTAAATGTACTTAATGTCACTGAACTACATCCTTAAAAATGGTTAAAAGAGTAAATTTTATATTTTTCCTACGTTGCCACTACTTTATGTTCTACTTTTATACACATTTATAAAATTCTATTTTATATACATTATAAAATATATTTAAATGTGTTGTAAACATGTATTATTTATTCTATTTGTTCTGTTTTATATATGTTGTTTACATGTGTGTATGTACATACACAGACATATATAGATATATAGACTCTTTGGAAAGCAGTTTCTTACAGCATTCAACACATCTTTCACCCCATGAACAAGCAACCCCATACTCCCAGGTAGTTGCCCAAGAAAAATAAAGACATATGCCCACACATAAATCTAAATAACCATTACTCCTCCTCCTCCTCATTATCAAAAACTGAAAATAAATAGAATATTCATCAACTTGCAAATGAACTAATACAGACATATAATAGAACACTACTCAGTAATGAAAAGGAACAAGAGGGAAATATGAAAAAGTTAAAAAAATTTAAAACGGAGTACCTTATAAATATTGTGCTAAGTTAAAGAAACCAGACATACAAAGTTACTGTATTATTCAATTTCTAATACATCTTGGAAAAGACAAAAACACATAAAAGGACAGAAATCAGGTAAGTCATTGCCAACATCTGGTAGTAGAAAAGGCAGACTGACTCTAAGGGGCATGAGGCTGCTTCCTAGGATGATGAAAACATCCTCTCTCCCCACTGTGGAGGGAGGGAGTTTACATGACTATACAGTGTGTCAAAATTCATAGGTCTGTATACATGAAAGGGATAATATTTACATATGTAAATTATAATGTAGAAATCAACAAAGTCAGAGTACTAAAAACAACTTAAACATTTGCTTCCACAGTAAATATTTTTAACAAGTATTCAACATGTAGACCAAACAGCTGACCACCTAATTTTGATGTTGCTTAATATTTATTTTATTTACTTGAAAGACAGTCAGAGAATTATCTCCATCTGCTGCTTCAAATCCAAACGGCTGTAATGGCTGGGCTGGACTAAGCTGAAGCCAGGAAACAGGAACTCCATCCAGGTCTCCCATGTGAGTATGGAGGCCCAAGTACTAAGGCCATCTTACAGTGCTCTTCTAGGGGCATTAATAAGGAGCTGGAATAGAAATGGAGCTGCCACTTGAACTGGTGCCATTATGGGAGGCCAGCATCCCAGGCGCCAGCTTAACCCACTTGTGCCACCATGCCAGTCCCATGAGCACATTATTTTGTACCAGATCTTAGGTATATCACTGCAAACAGAACCAAAGTGAAAATCATGTTTTTAGTTTTATCCTCCAAATATGCATTTTACTTCCAAAAAAACAATGAAATTAATATATAAGGGTTGGGGCCAGCGCTATGGGGTAGCGAGTTAAAGCCGCCACCCGCAGTGCTGGCATTCCATATGGGCATTGGTTGGAGTTCCGGCTGCTCCACTTCCTATTAATTCCAGCTCTCTGCTATGGCCTGGGAAAGCAGAAGATGCCCCTGCAACAGTTTGGGAGACCCAGAAGAAGCTCCTGGCTCCTGACTTCTGACCAGTGCAGCTAAATGGCCAATTGGGAAGTGAACAAGCAGATGGAAAACCTCTCTATCTCCTGTTCTCCTTCTCTATCTATGTAACTCTGACTTTCAAATAAATAAATAAATCTTTTTAAAAAAGAAAGAAACAAATTGCTCTAAAAAATCCATCAGGGCAGTACCCATACTTTAGAAATAATAACAGTAGGGGCAGACACTGTGGCACAATAGCTTAAGACTCCACTTGGGACATCCTCATCCCATGTCAGAGTGCTTGGGATCAAGTCTGACCTTTGCTTCCAATTCAGCTTCCTGCTAATGTGCCTGGGAGGAAGCAGATGATGATTCAAGTACTTGGGTCCTGGCCACCCATGTGGGAGACCTGCATGGAATTCTTGGCTCCTGTATTTGGCCTGGCCCAGCCCCAGCTGTTCCAAGTATTTGGGGAGTAAACCAGATGATGGGAGATAGGTGGGTAGGTACGTAGGTAGGTAGACAGATCAATCAATAGAGAGATAGGCAGACAGATAGAGAATCTCTCCCTTCCTCCCCCATGACTCTGCTTTTCAAATAAATAAACTCTTCAGAAAAGAAATAACAGTTAATACTGGGAAACAAATTGAAAAATGGGTTATCACAAGATAAGTAATTCTTCTTTGGAAACTTATCTTACAAATCACAGTAATCAGATACAAGTGACATATCATTAATATTAACTTTTATACCACATTGAGTAAGAAAGCACATTTTATCTCTCTTTGCTCTTTTTATTTTGTAAATCAAGGCCAATTTTGGAAAAACTGGAGGAGCAAAAGGAGAAGACAGGAAAGAAGACCAGAAGGCAAGCTTAATGTGTGTTTTATCTGTATTTCCTCAGTTCAACAAGAACTGAAATGTAGTTTTTAGAAGCAATACAATAGTTTCTACTCAGCTTAAACAGATATTCAAAGCTCTGAATTATAAAATTCAACTCCAAGTTTCACCTTTAAGAGAAACTAATAAATGAAATTAATGCTGTCATTATACATTAGCTTGGTTTTGAAACTCTAAAAATCTAATGCCTAAATGGAAAAATAGATATCTTTTCTCTCTTCCGCCTTCAAAGATCTCCTAATTTAACCATCTTAAATAGGAGAGCAATATGTAAAACATGTTCAATCTTCTATTTCAGGAGATCGCAAATTCTAATGTGCAAACTGCCTAGGTGCTTGTTAAAATGAAATTCCTGGGCATAGCTCCCCGAAATTTTGACTGATGGTAGATGAGAGAAGGAAGGGCTCATAGGATCTGTATTTTCAACAAGTATTACTGATAATTTCTATGTAGACTGCCTTAAGGTCTCATTTTGAAAAACACTGGTCTATATGCTGAATTTGGTTCCCATATGATACAGTGTAATCATGAATTCTAGCATTCTCTGTTCATAGACTACACCACACTTGGTATTAACACTAGCCTTTGTCAACTCACCTAAGATCTAAAAGTAAATTTAAACACCATATAATGATCAAATACGGCTGGAGTAAAGAAATGGAAAATAAATGTGACAGACTCATTTTTTGATGAAGAGCTAGACTATAAAATGACAAATTCATTTTTTATTAACATTTCCCTCATGCAAAAATTAGTTACATGGCTACAATTTTACATACACACACACACACACACACACACACAGCCCTTAACTGGTTAAGGAAATTATCTTTAATAAAGGTTTTTCATGCACCACAGACATACTTGCTTCTTACAATTACAACAGTCACTTCACGAATCAGTCTTTTTTTTATCTTCTTCCTGGACACACATTAAAACAAGGCGCTAGGATGCAAACAGATAAATGACTTCTTGCTTCACTTTTTAGATCCATTCATTATTATCACATTTCTACTCCAGTCTGTCTTTATCCCTGAAGACTTGAAAATACTTAAGCAAATGGCCACATCAATTTCATCTTTTCCATTTTTGACTTAAGCATAAAGTAGACAGCAACATGTTCTTTTTGACGTAATACGCCTCAAAAAATACTCAAATTTTCCAACTCTGCCATTGGCTTTATAAAATAGAGGAACAATCCTACACTTGTCTTATTTTTTCTTATGCCAGACAAAAATCAGACTGCTGATAAAGCACACTGATGTTTTTCACACTTCACCTAACATTCCAAAGTGATTCTGTTGAACATCTCATGACTGTCAGGCTGGTGGTACATTCAGTCATTGAGTATTTCCGCAGTAACAACAGGAGTCGGCTCCATGGATTCCAGGCTCCTTTGAGAAGACTCAGGGTGCCCTTTGTCTTGAAGGTACAGAACACCATAAATAACACCGAGGCAGGCCAACAATGACTTAGTCCCAGAGCCAGGCTTTGCTCTTAAAGAACATCCATCTCTAAAAGCTTCCACTGAAAGAGAAGAAAAACAGTACCAGGAGGACTACAAACAAAAATGAGGTTGATATTATAGTAGAAAATGCTAAGGGAAGCAAACTGGAAAAGTAGGGAAGCATTTCTATTTATTTGCTCTTGTTTTTGCTTTAAGCTATATACAGACCAATATGAACAAAGCAGAGGGAGACCTAGGGTCTGGAGGGAAACACTGCAATGTCAATGAGAAAGCAGAACTGGTTGTTTTCTATTACTAGAGAGCAGATCAAACACTGAGCTAGAGTCTAATTCTAAGCTAGTCACAAGGGATTTTAGCATAGGTTTCTTCATCTGTAACCTTATCTATTTCACAAAGTTGCTACGAGGAATATCAAGGAAAATACATATTATGCATGTCCAAGTACTACATAAACACGAATTTATAATCCTTTGTTGAATAAAATTAAAAGGAAACTGGGGGGTCGGTACTGTGGTGGAGCAAGAAAAGCCGCCACCTGCACTGCCAGCATCCCATATGGGTGCCAGTTCGAGTCCTGGCTACTCCACTTCCAATCTAGCTCTCTGCTATGGCCTGGGAAAGCAGTAGAAGATGGCCCAACTTCTTGAGCCCCTGTACCTGGAAGAAGCTGTTGGCTTCTGGCTCCGGATCGGCGCAGTTCCAGCTATTGTGGCCATCTGGGGAGTGAACCAGCAGATGGAAAACCTCTTTCTCTCTCCCACTCCCTCTCGCTCTTTCTGAATCTCAAACACATAAATCTTTAGAAAAAAAAAGAAAAAGCAACCCTCCCACCCCCCCCCCAAAAAAAGGACACTGGAACAAGTGATAAGAAAGAATTTATGCACACAGCACTGACAGTGATCTTAGAAAAAGGCAATATTACACTGATGTTCATGAAAGCAGTTAAGCACAGATTTTGGAAATTACAGACCAGTCAGTCTGCTGCTCACTTGGAAGACACGTGAAGATGTACCATGAAACCAATGATGTATGAAACCTCAGGGGAGGCCGGTTACTAGGATTCTGTACTGATGCACTACAGCAAGTTAAAAACATGAAAGAATCATATTATCACATTATTTCTTACTCCACCCGGGCTGCTATAACAAAATACCTTGGCCTGAGTAATTTATAAATAACAGAAATTTATTTCTCTCATTACTGCAGGTTGGAAAGTCCAAGATCAAAATGCCAACAGATTCAACGTCTGGAAAAGGCTTCTTCTCCACTTCTGGTACCTTTTGCTGCATCCTCACGTGGCTGAAGGAATGGCTCCCTGGCACGTCTTATAAATGGTCACAAATCCCACACATGCAGGCTCTACCAACTAACTTCATCAACCCCTGAAGGCTCTAACATAAAATTCGACAGGACACTAACATTCAGATCATAACATACCCCAAATCCTACCTGTGCTTTATGAGAATTTGCTATGTCTTTCAGTTAAGTCCTATTTTATTTTTAAACATAAGTAAATCTAATTCAAACTGTTACTTTACTAATTACTTGGAAGACAAATTTAAGGTCTTTTTAACTAAAATATTAAACCATCATAAAATGCTCAAACAGAATGGTCAGAGTTGGAGTTCATCTTAGAAACAGAACCTGATTGAGAGGCTAACCCAAAAAGCTACTCAGATCAAATCATTAAAATATATATATATATTTGTTTATATATATTTATACACTATTTACATCAATCACTTTATTTCTTAAAAGCAGTCAGTTAACTCCATTACAGAAAGTAAAACTTATTTTATATATATATATATACACACACACACACACACATATATATATAAATAATTTGGAAACACAAAATATAGTCTCATTCCAACATCTTAAAAAGTGTTCTTCAGGGATAGGTATTGTGGCACAGAAGGATAAGCCATCGCTGGAAATACAAACATCCCAAATTAGAATACCTAGGATGGAGTCCCCCTCATCACTCTGCCTGTCAAATAAAAATGAATAATTTTTTAAAAGTATCCTTCAATATGGGGCCGGCGCCATGGTGCAGTAGGTTAATCCTCCACGTGCAGTACCAGCATACCATATGGGTGCCAGTTCTAGTCCTGGCTGCTCCTCTTCTAATCCAGCTCTCTGCTATGGCCTGGGAAAGCAGTGAAAGATGGCCCAAGTCCTTGGGCCTCTGCACCCACGTGGGGGACCTTGAAGAAGCTCCTGGCTCTGGCTTCGGATTGGTGTAGCTCTGGCCGTTGTGGCCATCTGGCGAGTAAACCAGCAGAAGGAAGACCTTTCTCTCTGTCTCTACCTCTGTCTGTAACTCTACCTCTCAAATAAATAA